CAGGTCCTGTCAGACCAACCTGGTGGCCTTCTACGATCAGGTCACAAAATCACTGGATGTAGGTGTCACGGTGGATGTAGTCTTTCTGGACTTCAGGAAGGCCTTTGACACTGTCTCCCTCCCCATCCTCATTAAAAAGCTAGGTGACTCCAGCGTTGATGCCTACACAGTCAGATGGGTTGCTATTTGGCTGGAGGGCCGCACCCAGAGCATGGTGGTGGACGGGTCATATTCGACCTGGAGGGATGTGGGCAGTGGGGTCCCCCAGGGCTCAGGCCCGCACTGTTCAATCTCTTTATTAGCGACTTGGACGAGGGGGTAAAAAGCACCTTGCTCAAATTCACTGATGACACCAAGATCTGGGGCAAGGTGGGCACACCAGAAGGGAGGGACAGGATACAGCTGGATCTGGACAGGTTACAGGGGTGGGCAAATAAGAATAGGATGAGATTCAATACCGACAAGTGCAAGGTGCTGCACCTGGGCAGTAAGAACCAGCACCATACCTACAGGTTGGGGAACTCCTTTCTTGAGAGCACGGTGGCAGAAAGAGATCTCGGAGTCGTTATTGATGCCAAGATGAACATGGGCCGGCAGCGTGGGGACGCGGTCAGGAAGGCCAACCACACCTTGTCATGCATCCACAGATGCATCTCAAGCAGGTCCAAGGAGGTGATCCTCCCCCTCTATGCGGCACTGGTCAGGCCGCAGCTGGAGTACTGCGTCCAGTTCTGGGCGCCGCACTTCAGGAGGGATGTGGACAGCATGGAGAGGGTCCAGAGGAGGCCACTCGCATGATCAGGGGGCAGCAGGGCAGGCCCTATGAGGAGAGGCTACGGGACCTGAACCTGTTCAGCCTCCACAAGAGAAGGCTGAGGGGGGATCTGGTGGCTATAAACTTAGCAGGGGGACCAGCGGGGAGTGGGAGAGACCTTGTTCCCCCGAGCACCTCTCGAAGTAACAAGGAATAACGGTCACAAGCTGGCAGAGGGGAGATTCAGACTAGATATCAGGAGGTGCTACTTCACGGTCAGGGCGGCTAGGATCTGAAACCAACTTCCAAGGGAAGTGGTGCTGGCTCCTACCCTGGGGGTCTTTAAGAGGAGGCTTGACAATTACCTGGCTGGGGTCATATGAGACGAGTTTTCTCTCCTGCTCAGGGCAGGGGGTCAGACTAGAAGATCTGCAAGGTCTCTTCCGACCCTACTTCTATGAATCTACGCACCCAGGAGGTCTAAGGCTGAGCAGATGGGCCAAGGCCACCCAGGAAAGTCTGCCATGGAGCTGGAAATTAACTTTCAGCCTCTCACCGGCTCTGCAGTTGCCCTAGTCATGGGACTCCCCACAGGGGCAGCATCCAAGACTTGCTAATGGTCATGCAACCACCAAGGGTGGCGTGAGACCCAGACTCCTAGTGCTATGCCACAACCACTGGGCAGTGCTGCCTCCAGCCTGGGCACGAGCCCAGGTATGTGCTCCGTGGTGCACATGAATGCCCCATGTCCCCTGAGGATTGCTAACCTGCCTTTTGTCACCTTCTGTCTTCAGAGCCAGCTTTCCCAGGCGCTGAATGGGTTGTCCGACAGAGCCAAGGAAGCGAAAGAGTTCCTGGTGCAGCTGCGAAACATGGTTCAGCAAATCCAGGTATGGTCCCGTCCCATCCTGACAGGGAAACACCCCTCCACACATGCCCTGGGCATGTTGATATGCCCTGACAGCGGCCTCTTCTGCTTTGGCTTTGTGACTTTCCTGACCAAATGCACAGAGCCAGCCCCTTCAGTGCCACCTTCTGCAGCCCTCCACTGTGCCCGTGCTGCTGGGCTGGCCTTGCTGCTCACCTCCGCTCTCTGGGGTTGTTCAACCAGCAAGAAGCAGCTCCCCTAGCCAGGCTCCCAAGCCCCTGGCCTGGGCATGGGGCAATGCTGACTCCAGGTGCCAGTTTGGGGGCTGGCGTAGGGTCTGGTGTCCTCAGGACAGCCGATAACCCAGTGGGGGAAGTCACTGCTTAGAAGACGCTTTCTTCCAGCCTCTCCAGCCAAGTGAAGCCACATCAGTGAGTCCGTCTGGTTTGTAAGCTGTGGCGCGTTTGCCTTCAGCCTGCCATGCTTCCCCATTTCCCCTGAGAGGGGCTCGCAGTGCAGATAAAACTAAGCCACTTGGCAGAGGTCTATATAGCTTTCCTCCTGCCCCCAATAAAATAAGCCCCTTCCACTCGGTGCAGTGGAGATCGGCTGCTCGGGAAAGTAGGGGTTTGGGGAGCCGTCCCGGGTGGCTCAGAGCAGTCAGGAGCACCCCCTTCTCCCACCCAGCAGTGCTCTCAGGGCCCATTCAAGCCCTGCACCCATCCTCCTGGCAGCCGAGGCTTTATGGACATGATCACCTCACTGGGCTCTTGGCAAAGCTGCGCTAAGGCGCCCAGCTCCTGGCAGCCCTCCCCTCCACTCTCCATGCCTGAGCTACGCTCCCTGCAGAGGGGCTGGGGATGTAGCACCAGGACAAGCACAGGCAGCTGTGGCAGAGATATGCAGGGGGAGCTGGGTTGCATGCTGCAGCCCGCGGCGGGAAGCCCCTGCTCTTGTCACGGGGCACCTGGTATTTATGGGGCAGCAGCAGGTCAGTGGTGTTGCTCGACCCTTGAAACACTGGGACAGGTCTCCTCCCCCAATTCTTCCCATTCCTGTCCTGAGACTTGCCCAAGGAGACTCATCTTGATTTTCTGCAGCACAATACCACCTGGCTGCCTTAACCCTTTGCCCCCTGCACTCCTGGTTTCTTCCCCTACCACTGACTGTGTGCCCCACCTGCCGCACCAGCCCGCAGCAAAAGCCATCTCTGCTGTCATAGTATTGCCAGGTCCCAGCCCAGCTCTCAAGGCAGAGAGCTGCAGATGCAGGAAGAGGACTTCATCTCCTCCCAACCCGCTTTGTGCACTGAACCCCAGGCCAGAAGCCCTGCCCAGAGACCTAAAAAAACATGGATGCTACTCATTCATCTCTGGGATAAATGTGGGTGGACGAGCATGGACCTGGTCATTCCTCTCAAGCTTACTCCTTGTAGCACCTTGGTTCATAGTGGGACCAGCACAGTCAGGCTCTTCTGAGCATCACGATTTGCCATCCCCTGCAGGAGTCAGTGCATGTGCCATTACACAGGCCCTATGAGCAGATCCTTACTGGTGCAGATCCTTTTGCACTGAGCAGTCGCACCCTACTCAGGCCAAAGCCTACAGGGATTCCTAGGAGCATTGCCCGAGGGTGCATTGCTGGATTTGGCCCTGGGTTTGTATGATAGGTGAAAGGCCCACTTCTCCCATGGGCAACTGCGAGCAGTGATTAGCAGTCCCTCATCCCCTCCCAGGGTCCGGAGCCCCACTCCCCCCATGGAAAGATGCTGGTCGAACCCCGCAGCTGTGAGCACGTGCTTTGTCCCACAGGAGAACAGCGTGGAGTTCGAGGCTTGCCTGGTGGCTCAGTGCGACGCCCTCATTGACGCTCTTAACAGGAGGAAAGCCCAGCTGCTGTCCCGCGTCAACAAGGAGCATGAGCACAAGCTGAAGGTGAGTCCCGCGCGTTCCTTCGTAGGGGGCTGAGCATCTGACACTGGGGATGTTCCCCTCAGCTCCTAATGCACCACAGCACAGCCACGAGTTGTGATGCTTGTTGCAGTGAAGGGGTTAAAATTGCAACCTTGCATTGAGCGTTCCCAGTATCAGAGACCCCCATGGGAAAGGTAAATCCTGAAGGAAGCCCTTCGCGCATCTTTCCCAAGGCTGGCTCCAATCCTTCCAGCTGTGCACGCGCGCACGCACACATGCACACGCTATCATGCTGGCAAGGCTCTGACTAGAAGATGCATTTCGGAGCATTTGCTGAGATGTTGAAATCCGGGGTAGTTCTGCACCAGATCACAAATCAAACCCCGTAGCCGCATTGCTTGAGGTGGGTAGGCGGCAAGGGGTGTGGGCCAGCCACCAGCCGAGCTGTGTAAAGCAAAGTGCTGTATCCCAGCATGAGCTCAGGTCCTGCTGAGGGAGACACTTGAACCTGGATCTCCCACATCACAGGGCATCCACACTGGCACGGTTACGAATTGGTCCAGCGTCCATACGATTTCAGGTGGCCAAGAATAAGCCAAGTACAGCCTGCCCTACGAAGGGTGCTGCGCCCTTCACACCCAGTGTTTTCAGTGGGCGCAGGTTATACTAGTTATTTGTCACTTTTCTGCAGTGCCGTGAGTGTGCACAGGGCCTAATGGAGCCACAAACTGTAGGATGGCATGGCTCTTGCCCTGACTAGCTTAGGATCCTGAACTTGCAAGGCACATTGAACCTGCACTGCAAGGCTGGGAGTGCCCTCAGCTTCTGTTAACATCAGCCAGAGCTGAGAGCACCTAGCATCTTGTCAGATTATCCCATAGCGTGGACACGAAACTAGGAAGAATGGAGCAGGAGGAGCACTGGGGTTGTGTTGGCTGTGCCTGGCACACAGTGACAGGATTTGTAACCCTGCACAGGAGACCGGATTGCAAACAGCAGCCGAATGAAAGGTCCCTTAAGGGCCAACCGACTGACTGTTTCTGGCTTCACCAGCTGTGAAAACTGAAAATACAGAGGAGAGTCACTGCAGGCTGGGAAGTGAGAAGGCAAAGGGCTTCTTGGGTGTATGCTCCCTGTGGTGCAGGGTTTAGGGTTAGGGTTAGGAGGACCTGAAGACCTGCATGGGATATTAGTGCCCATGGACGATTGAGGACTGAAGTTGGAGGTTATTCAGGGTATGGCTTGAGATTGGGCTGCAGCCTTGTGGGCTGATTCCTGTTTCTGTACAAAGACCTGGAGCAGGATTCACCTCCTAGCTTCCACTTTATTCCACTTGATCTGCTGGGACAAGGGAGGTGCAGCTCTCTCTGGCGGGTCTAGCCGCATCTCAGCAGGCTCACAGCAGTCCCTCCGAAGCGAGCCCCCAAGCCCAGATGTCCTTGGCTCCAATGTTAAGGTGTAACTATGTTCTGCTGAGCTTTCGGGACGCATCATTTGAATGTCTTTTAGTGAGTCAGCTTCAACCAAATAATGAGGAAGATCTCTTGTATCCTCTGTCCCTCCACCTGGATTTGGCCCCTGGCACTGCCCCATGCCGCCAGCATGTCGTCTTACTTGCTTTGGCCTCTTCTCGGCATGTATCAAACGCAGGAGTTGAGTGAGCCTCCCCGCATTGCCATTAGTCCCATGTTTGCCTTCGACATGCAGCGAACAGACTCTAGTTTATGGGAAGCTCAGACCTCTGCATCCTACGGTTCATGTCTTTGCAAGGCCTGCCATGCCACCCCTTTCCACATTCGCACCCCTTCCCTCTTGCTCACAGAGACACCGTGCCTTCATCTCTGCCTTTCAGTCACTGCCTCCTTTGTTCTTCAGTCTCGGTCTCCCCTCCAAGATCAGGTCACTTGCTTCGCCCTCTGGGATACAAGAGTTTAAACGCAAAACTGCATGGCGCTGGGGCAGGGCTGCCTGCCGGGAAAGGTGTGAGCAAAGTCCCTAGCCAAATGTAGGGCCCATTGAAGTCCCAGGGTTGTCAGACAATAAGGGCTTTGTGAGCGGGGTTGCCTGTTCCCTTTCTTTCGCACGCCCACGCTGCAATCGGTGCTGTGGCACTGTAGCTAGTGGTACCCCACCACACATCAGCTCCTCACAGGCTGCCAGCCTGCCTTCTCATTTAGAAAAGACCAGCACCATCCACCAAGGTCTTTTTCAGACCCAGGGGGGTCAGGGTTAATTAAAATCTCACAAAGCAATACCATACAAAAACTACTCCCCTGACCCACCCGGGCTGCGGGAGCCCAGCAGCCTTTCACTTTATGGGCAGCCCTGGGAGGTGCTTTCTGCCTCTCTGAACCTCCCCTGACCCCTTCCCAGCTGGGCTTGGTACTTGGTCAGGGCCTGACGGCTCCTGGCCCTTAAAGGGATCGCTGCATTGCAGCATCTCTGAAATTCCAGCTCGGAGCGCCTGTACTTACATCCACACGCATGGATGAAAGTAGCCCCCCTCTGGCATCTCCCTGTTGTCATAAAGGATGCCAGGTTTGGCAGTCTGGGCCATGGGGTGTCTGTGGGATTTGCTCCGGTCCTCGTACCTACATCCTGCACCTAAGGAGTCCTGCTGAAACTGGTGGGGATGCAGGGGGGAGTGAGGGCTGACTGCGGAGGGAAGGGCAGGGCAAAGCAAGCAAAGAGCTCCCACGGCGTTCAGGGACCCCCAGCCGGGAGCTCAGCAATGCACGTTGGAAGCTTTGCGAGGACTAAATGAGGAGAGACTGAGGGCACTGGGCTTATTTATCCTGGAAAAGAGAAGACTGATGGGGGATTTCGTAGCAGCCTTCAACTCCCTGCAGGGGGGCTGCAAAGAGGATGGAGCTGGACTAGTCTCAGTGGGGGCAGATGACAGGACAAGAAGCAATGGGCTCATGTTGCAGCAAGGGAAGTTGAAGTTGGATATTAGGAAAATCTTTCTCACTAGGAGGGTGGTGAAGTGCTGAAACAGGTCACCCAGAGAGGTTGGAGAACCCCCATCCAGTCTGTCCATTAGGCTGGACGTAAGGAAAAACTTCTTTACCATCTGAGTCTCCAGAGTCTGGAGTAGATGCCCCACAGAATTGGTGCAAGCATCTACTCTGGACACCTTTAAGAGACACTTGGATGCTTATCTTTCTGGGGTGAGCTGATCCCAGCTGACTTCCTGCCCCTTGGGCAGGGGGCTGGACCCGATGCTCTCGTGAGGTCTCTTCCAGCCTTGATGTCTATGAAATCTATAAAATCCTTGGAGGTTTTTAAGACCCGGCTAAACAAAGCCATGGCTGGGATAAGATAGCTGGGGCTGGTCCTGCTTGGAGCAGGAGGTTGGACTAGATGTGACCCCATGAGGTCCCTGCCAACCCTCATTTTCTATGACTCCGAGCCATCAGTGTTCAGACCCGAAGGCCCATTCTCACAGCCTGCAGCAACATCCGTTTAGGTTGGCTGTTCACTCTGAGCTGTGCAGCTGGGAAGCAGTAATAAAGCTGCTGAAATCATGGTTTGAAAGCTGTGTGGGAGGGAGCAGCTTGCCCTGTGGCGTGGCCGTGCCTTGCCTGTGTGGTGGTCCCATGCAGCGCGCGGGGATGCAGCGTTGTGTTGGGTGTGGCGTTGCACCCTGGCACACAGCATGGCCCAGGTGGGTGGTGCCTGCTTTCGCCCACCGTGCTTTGGACAGCAGGTTGTGGGCAGCTCTCACTCAGGCACATGCCTCCCCCGTCTCCTGGGAAGGGGCTGAGGATCGGACCTGAGTGACCCTTCTGCAGCCTCCTCCCTCTGTGCTCTCCTCCGCTCTGCGGCTGGCAGGATTGCCACCTACCCATGCCTGAGTCATTGCAGCACCACGCTGCTCCTCGCCCACCTGCCGTGATAATTTCCTGGAAGAAGCACAGATGCCTGCACCCTGCTATCACTGAGCCCACATGGTGGGAGAGCTGCTAGCTGGGCTGGGGGTCAAACGAGAAAACAGCCACCCTGGGAAGAAGCTGCAAAATGTAAGCAGAACCGAGGTCCTGGTGTGAAGTGAAATACAGCCACGCTGGCAGCCTTGCACTCACCCTGTGGCTAAGAGGCAGCCAAGTCCCCTTGGCCTCTTTCCACACCCACCAAGCGCTCCACTGGAAGGCAGGGGAGGGAGAATCCGGCCCCCGGTCTGTAAAGCACCTGCAGGTCCCAGTGCACGTGCAGCTGCTCTGAGCCTCGCTGCATGGAGAGAGAGCGAGCTGTGGTAAGCGCTTGTTCTCCGAGCAGGGCAGGGCATTATGGCTACATAATGTGGTCCTGGCAGGGCAGTAGCTAGTGCCTCCCAGAGAAGGTAGGTCTGGTGGGTTCAGCTGCAGCCTGGCAGTCAGGTGGGGGCTCCCTCGTCACTGATCTGCTGTGCGACCGGAGGCATGTCGGCCCATCTCCCTGCTCCCCGTCTCTGCCTGTGGACTTAGACTGGAAGCTGGGGATGGATGTGCAGCACCGAGCACAGCGCGCCGCAGCCTCAGTGGCATCCTTCAGGCACAGCGAGGATGTTGAGAATAATTCCCTGACATGTTTGGTTTTCTTTCCAGTGTCCTGAGATGCTCCTGGTTTCAACCCACCTGGGTTGTGCTGGTGAGGGGTGTTTTGGCCCCTTCCCTTAAAGCTAATTGCTGCTTATAAGAGCTCCCAGAGACCCAGGCCCTCCTTGCGGAGCCCTCCAGGGCTGGCCCCTGCCATGGCACGGCCCTGTCTGTCTGCTGCTGGCTGGGCAGTGTTGCATGCTATGGTACGCGACAGGGAGGTGAGAGAAAGCAGTCACATCCATCCTGCGCACCTGGTGAGTGCTGCAGAGGCCTTACTCCAGGTCACCACAACGTGATTTGCTGCACAGTGTCCCCAAATTTGGGGAACCTGTTTCAGAGCCCTCCTTCCCTGAAGAAGAACAAAACACCCCTTCTTCCCAGGAGGTCACCGGAAATAAGGAGCTCTTAGAGGAGGGGTTGCAACGGGTCGCTGGGGCAGTA